TAGCGCTCTCCACTTGAGCCACAGTGCCACTTCCGGCTTTTTTCTTTTTTCTTATGTGGTGCTGAGGACTAGAACCCAGGGCCTCATGCATACAAGGCAAGCGGTCTACCACTGAGCCACCTTCCCAGCCCCTCCTAAATATCCTTGTATAATTGAGAAATAATTATTGGCAGAATAAAATCTGTTACACTATAGATAGGCTCCGAACATACCATGGATAGTTAAAAATTAATTTGCCAAAACTAGTAGCAAAGTAGGATCATTAAAATTGAAAGTCAGAGTGGTCTTGTGGCTTAAGTGGCTAGGGACAGAGCTCAGGCCTTGAGTTCAAGCCCTAGGATTGGCAAAAACAAAAAGGAAATCAGAGATGGTTTTTAAAACAACAGACGAAAAAATAGTTTTACCTTTTGTGGATGTAAAGTTAAATTTTATTTATATCATGGGGGCTGAACTCAGCGTGGGCACTGTCCCTCAGCTTTTCAGCTCAAGGCTAGCATTCTACCATTTGAGCTACAACAGCCACTTCTGGTGCTGAGGAATGGAACCAGGGCCTCATGCATGCAAGGCAAGCACTCTATCACTGAGCCAACTTCCCAGTCCTAAATTTTAATTTTTTAATCAAATTATTATATTAATGGCAATGGAAGTGATGGGGAAATCATGAAATTTTACTGAGAAAGGCATTATAGAAATATCAAATATCTTTCTAGGGCAGGAATAAATTTTACAGCATTCCTGGACAATTGGTAAATCTCTCTGTAAACACTTCTGGTGGAACTGAGTTTATCTAGTTTATGAGGCAAGTTGTTCTTTTGCTTGATAGCTTTTTTTTTTTTTTACTTTTTTTTGTTGTTGCTTTGCTTGGTTGTGGGACTTGAACTCAGGTCTTTGGCGCTGTCTCTGAGCTCTTTTACTCAAGGCTAGCAGTTCTCTACCACTTTGAGCAACAGCTTCCACTTTTCTGGTTCTCTGATGATTAGTTAGAGAATAAGAGTCTTAGGGACTTTGCTGTCTGGGCTGGCTTATATATATACAGAATGGAATTCTATGCCTCCATCAGAAAGAATGACATTGCCCCATTTGTTAGGAAATGGAAAAACTTGGAACAATTATATTAAGTGAATTGCCATACTTAGATATCAGCCTCCTGAATACTAAGCTTATAGGCGTTAGCCACCAGTACTTGGCTTCTTTTTACTAATTAATTAATTAATTAATTATTTTGTTGGTCTTGGGGCTTGAACTCTGGGGCTGGGTGCTGTTCCTGAGCTCTTCAGCTCAAGGCTAGTGCTCTACCACTTGAGCCACAGCACCACTTATGGTTGGTGGTTAATGGAGATAAGACTCTCACGGCCTTTCCTGCCCAGGCTGGCTTTGGATTGAGATCCTTAGCTCTCAGCCTTCTGTGTGGTTAGGATTACAGGTGTGAGCCACTGGTACCTGGGTTCTTTTTTACAATTAATTAATGATCATTTTCTTAACATTTTGTGCTGGCACTGGGGTTTAAATACAGGGTACTGTCCCTTATTTTCTTTTTTTTTTTACTCAAGGCTGGTACTCTACCACTTGAGCCACAATTCTACTTGTGGCTTTCTGGTAGCTAATGGGAGATAAAAATTTCATGGATTTTCCTGCCCAGGCTGACTTTGACTGTGATCCTTAGAACTCAGCCTCCTGTAGTTAGGATTAAAGGTGTCTGTTGATAGTTTTTTTTTTTTCAAAGTGAAGTTCTTGATATTTTGTAAAATATTATAAATTTCACATTTCTTTCTCTAGAAAGATTTCTATTTTAGTTTCATACAACATTATCTCTTTAAATATTTTTATTATTTGGTATATTTTCTGTTTTATACACAGCTTTTTCTATTTTACTGTTAAGTAAATTCACTTTCTTTTAAAATTTACAGTCTGTTTCAGTGCATAATAATTAGACATCTTTCGATAAGCATAGTATGCTGTCATGCAGGACCAAGTTTATTTGATCTTTTTTGCTTTTTATTTTTGCAGAGCTGAGGATTGAACTCAGGGCCTTGGCACTGGCCAGACAAATGTTCATCTACTGAGCTAAATCTCTAACCCCAAGGACCAAGGGTTTTTTTGTTAGCCTTTAAGCTGCTTTTTTACTTTTTATTTTTTGGCCAGTCCTGGGGCTTGAACTCAGGGCCTTGGTGCTGTCCCTGAGCCTCTTTGTGCTTAAGTCTAGTACTTTACCACTTAAGCCATATTGCTACTTCAGCTTTTTCTGAGTAGTTTTTTTTTTTGGGTCCGGTTGTGGGGCCTGAACTCTGGGCCTGGGAGCTGTCCCTCAGCTCTTCAGCTCAAGGCTAGAACTCTACCACTTGAGCTACAGCGCCACTTCTGGCTTTTTCTTTTTGCTTATGTGGTGCTGAGGAATCGAACCCAGGGCCTCAGACATGCAAGGCAAGTGCTTTACCACTGAGCCACCTTCCCAGCCCTTTTCTGAGTAGTTTATTGGAGATAAGAATCTCATGGATTTTTCTGTCTGGACCTGGCTTTGAACAGCAGTCCTCAGATCTCAGCATCCCGAGTAGCTAGGATTACAGGTGTGAGCTACTGGTGACCAGTTAGCCACACTTTCTCCTCTGTCCCTTCCCACTCTGCTCTTCTCTTACTCTTTTCTCTTCCCCATCTCCCCTTCCTCCTTTCCCCTCTGATTTCTTTGTGTTAGAATGAGGGCTTGAACTCAGGGCCTCATGCCTTGTTTAGCTATTTTGTTCTTAACTAGGGCTCTACCACTTGAGCCTCCAGTGAAGCTTTTTTGTTTGTTAGTTGGAGATAGAGTCTCATGGATATATCTACTTGAGCTGACTTCTAATCGTGTGTGTGTGTGTGTGTGTGTGTGTGTGTCTTGGTTGGTTGTGGGGCTTGAATTCTTGGACTCGGCACTGCCCCTCAGCTCTTCAGCTCAAGACTAGCACTCTACCACTTGAGCCACAGCACCACTTCTGGTTTTCTGGTGGTTAATTGGAGATAAGAGTCTCACAGACTTTCTTGCCTGGGCTAGCTTTGAACCGCTCCTCAGATCTCAGCCTCCTGAGTAGCTAGGATTACAGGTGTAAGCCACCTGTGCCCAGCTGACTTCTAATTTGATCCTCAGATTTCAGCTTCCTGAGAAGCTAGTATAGGGTTGAGCCACCAATGCCTTACTATTACTAATTTTGTCTTCCTTTCCCCTTCCTCCTTCCTCTTCTTTTTGTGGTGCCAACTATAGAACCCAAGGTCTCCCTCATGCTACATAAGCACTCTACCACTGAACCACAGACCCTTACCCCCATCCTATGCCTTTCTTGGAATGAAGTTCCCCTCCTTTCTTGACTAATTCTGCTTAGCCTTTAAGAATATAAGTCCAGGAAATTCATAGAACTTCGATTTCCCTGTCACTTGACTAAGAATTCCTACAAAGAAGGAAGTTTATATTTGAAGTTCTATAATAATTCTAAAATAGGACATTTTGGTTGTTAGCTGAAATCTTAGTTTTTTTTCAAGTTGCCATTTTAAAAGTTATTTTTAAGTAATTGTAGAAAGGAGTTGCCATTTAACAAAGCAGTTTATGAATACAGTAAATCTTGATCAATCTCTGGTTCCTGTTTCATTCTCTTGAATTTTTCCAGGGGCAAATGAGAATTACAGAGGATGAGGAAAGTCTAGTTTGACTGTTAGTACTGCTGCCAGGTGGATGGCCATAGATGCCTGGCAAAGGTGGGAGTGGGGTGCCTTATTGACATGTTTGTTACTTAGGTAAGCAGTAGTTCTGGATACAGACCAAGAGAATTATTCCAATAGAACTGTAGCATGAAGCTGAGAGTTTTCTGTTTTGGAAATTTGATTTATTCTAATTAATTGATGTGTCTAGAAATTAATATTACAGTTGTAACCTGTCACTAACACTAGTGGTAGCACAACTGAGTATGTTAAAAAAAAAACCTATCATACATATAATACCAGTTGGCTCATAAGCATTTGAAAAATAGAGAAAAATGTCTGTATAACATGGAAATTGAGGGCTGGGAAGGTGGCTCAGTGGTAGAGCCCTTGCCTTGCATGCCTGAGGCCCTGGGTTTGATTCCCAGCACCACTTCCAACTTTTTTTTCTTTTTGCTTATGTGGTGCTGAGGAATCGAACCCAGGGCCTCATGCATGCAAGGCAAGTGCTCTACCACTGAGCCACCTTCCCAGCCCTCTCTCATAGTGTTATATCAGTTCTTATCCATAATATATAGTCTTAGAAATTTTTATTTTTTCTCCAAATATTTGTTTATTAAGATTAAGTGATTACATAAATTTCTCAGTACTGTGGCATAGTTATACTTAGCTAAATTCACAAATACCTTTTAACCTTCACAATGATAATCATCATTATCTTAATCTACAAAGCTTATGAATTCTATGAACTATTTCTACTAACTTGGTAGATATGTACATTTCTTTCTTTTTGCTGAGGGTCAGCTATTCCCTCTTTCTCTTCATTCCCGCCCTCCCATAACCACAATTGAGTTGCTTAGTTCACTTTCATCCTCAGATCTCAGCCTCCTGAGTAGCTAGGATTACAGGCGTGAGCCAGTGGCACCCGGCTCATTTTTACTTCTTGAACTTTTTTTGTGTCAGACTTCAGAAGTTCTTCTGTTTGTTGCTGTTAATGTCTTTTCCTCTTCTGTCCTTTTTGTGATAAACTTTCTGTCATCCCCATTTGCGTCTTTGTGCCTTTAATGTTATGAAAATAAGGTTAGGAAAATTTTCATTTTGGGATGCCTAAGAGTCTTTCTTGAGAATTATAGTTTAAGTGTTCTTGTAATTGAATACTGAGGATATTTAGCTATATATTTTAATAAAAATTAGTACTAAGATTTACTTTTTGTTACAGTAGATAAATAAGAATGAAACATTGATTAATAGTATGTGAATGTGCTGTATTTATATTCATGTTAATGGTATAAATGTATGAATGTGACTGTTATAATGCTGATTTTATTTTCCTTCAGGAGGATCAGGATGGGAGTCAAGGGCTAGGGAAGAGAAAGAGGGTAAAACTAAGCAGTGGCACCAAAGGTATTTCTATTTATTTATTTTTACTTGAACAAAATACTTCATTAAAAAAAAAAGAATCACTAAGAAAACCAAATTAGTTATAGTGACATTAAAGCTTTTGGGAGTGTTAATGTTACTAGAAGTATGCAATGTCAAGAAAGTGTTGGTGGGAAGTTGTAGGTAGTTGTAGATACCTTAGAAATAAGTAAAACTAATGGGATTTTGTTCATTTTACTCATAATAAAATGTGCGTTATTTGAGCCAATAAGTCTTATTTTTGATTGCTTGATTTGGCTAGTATTTCTTGTGTAGACTTTTAATTTGATTTACTTCAATTATTTTTGGTATGCAATTTCTAGAGTAAAAAAGGAGGAATAAGGGCAGAAATGCGGGGTACAGAAAACCAATGGGAATGATTGAATAGAACCTAACACATAATAAGGGTTCATGAAGTACTCATACATGTTTAATCAAAGTAAATAAATAGTTGTGACATTAGTAATAATAGTAATTTTTATTGACTCTCTTATATGTGCTGACATAATAATAGCATTAATTTAACTTCTAAAGTAACTGTATGCAGCAGGTTTTATTATTATTACTTTTAATTATAAGTGAGAAAATGAAAAGGGATGTTAGAGACCATAATTAATGAAAATTAGATCCTTAATTCAAATCTCAAAGTCTAAGCTTTTAACCACTATGTTTTTTGGACCTGCACTTAAAACTTTCCTGGAGTACTTCTTAAAGTTGGAGAACTTCTTACAGGCTTAGGTTCTTTGTTATAAATTTCAAAGCATTGTTGGGAACCAGTGGCTCACACCTGTAATCCTAGCTACTCAGGAGGCTGAGATCTGAGCATTGCAGTTCAAAGCAAGCCGGGAAGAAAAGTCCATGAGACTTTTATCTCCTATTAACTACTAGAAAACTGGAAGTGGTGCGGTGGCTCAAATGGTAGAGCACTTGATTTGAGCTGAGGAGCTCAGGGACAGCGCTCAGGCCCAGAGTTCAAGCCCCACAACCCACTTAAAAAAAAAAAAATCAGCCGGGCGCTGGTGGCTCACGCCTGTAATCCTAGCTACTCAGGAGGCTGAGATCTGAGGATCGCGGTTCAAAGCCAGCCCGGGCAGGAAAGACCGTGAGACTCCTATCTCCAATAAAACCACCAGAAAACCGGAAGTGGTGCTGTAGCTCAAGTGGTAGAGCGCTTGCCTTGAGCTGAAGAGCTGAGGGACAGTACCCAGGCCCAGAGTTCAAGCCCCACGACCGACAAAAAAAAAAAAAAAATCAAAATCTTAATGTGGTCTGTATTTTGGGCATTCAAAGATTAAAATATTAGCTTACTAGAGAAAAGTCTTACTTGTTGCTGAGTAAGTCTGTCATCTGGCATATTTCAAACTATCTGGAACAATAGGACATGCAGACTTTCTAAGTCTGTTTTTTGTTACTTATGTTGCTATCTTTACCTACTGGGCTGCTAGCAGAGTATCAGTCCTGAGGTTCAGTATACAGTCAGGCATGGGTTTCTCTTCTTCCTGGCTCAGCAGAAAATCTGTGACTCCTGAATGACATTAGAACCTCATGTAGCTGCTTGACCCTTGATTTACCAGAATTGCCATGTGTTTATCTTAGGCTATGTGACATGTCTGAGTTAGAACATATTCTTTTTGTTGTTGTTGTTGTTGGTTGTGGGGCCTGAACTCTGGGCCTGGCCACTGTCCTTCAGCTCAAGGCTAGTGCTCTACCACTTGAGCCTCAGCCCCACTTCTGGCCTTTTCTGTTTATGTGGTGCTGAGGAATCGAACCCAGGGTCTTGTGCATGTGAAGCAAACCCTCTACCACTGAGCCACCTTCCCAGCCCATGAACATATTCTTGAATTTAAGCTTTTTAGATGCCCATAAATTACTGCTGTAGTTTTTTTTTTTTTTTTTTTTGCTTGATTACACTCTAGCTAAGGGTACTTTTCATGAAGACGTTAAAGTTTGTTTTCATTAATACTTGATTTTTTTTCCACATGTGAGTTTGGATTGAAATGCCTTCTCTTAATTCCTCTAGCAGTATAAGACTTGATTAACTAGGATTTTTGGTTTAAGTATTATATGTGCAAAACATGGTCTTTTGATTTGAAACCCATGGTGTTTTAAAATGTCACTATTGCTTTTGAAGATACCTGAATATTAAGAAGAAATATAAATTCATTGTTGTTGTTGGTTGTGGGGCTTGAACTCAGGGCCTGGGTGCTGTTGCTGAGCCTCTTTCACTGCTGAGTGCTCTATTACTTTGAGCAACATTGTCACTTCTGGTTTTTGAGTGGTTAATTGGAGAGAAGGGTTTTATGGGAACTTTTCTGCCTGGGCTTTGAACTGCGATCCTCAGATCTCAGCTTCCTGAGTAGCTAGGATTACAGGTGTGAGCCACCAGTGCCCAGCTGAGATATAGTTTTTATAAGATTTGGGTCAACAGTTTGAAAAGAACATGTGTAAAGCCGGGCGCTGGTGGCTCACGCCTGTAATCCTAGCTACTCAGGAGGCTGAGATCTGAGGATCACGGTTCAAAGCCAGCCCGGGCAGGAGAGACTGTGAGACTCTATCTCCAATAAACCACCAGAAAACCGGAAGTGGCGCTGTAGCTCAAGTGTTAGAGCGCTCGCCTTGAGCTGAAGAGCTGAGGGACAGCGCCCAGGCCCAGAGTTCAAGCCCCACGACCGACAAAAAAAAAAAAAAAAAAAAAGAACATGTGTAATGAAAGGCAAAAGGGCTGGGTGTCATGCTACAGACCTAAATGATAGGCCAAGATTTTTGAGCTATTGAGATAACAGAGCTTAGAATTTGCTAAGTCTTTGCCTTAATCATGCATTTGCACAGCATAGTTACTCTTCAAAAATCTCTTTTTACAGTTTGATTTAAGGCAGTTTACATAAAGGTATATGTACACATAGCTAATTGAAGCATTTCTTATCACAATTTCACAATATTACCCCCAAAATAGGCCTTAAATGCTTGGGAGGCTGATACCACCTATATAAGAAAGACAATGAAAAGCACAAACTCAAATATATCCCCAACTCTACAGAGCTTCACCTTATATAGTTCTTTACCTAGATGGAAAATATGCACCAAAAAACTGCCCCCACTTCCCCTTTAAATTGTATCTGATTATACAATCAAATTCATGTCTTGTATTTTAATAAAAATGTCTGTATTTCAAAAAAAAAAAGACAATGTCTGTATTTCAAAAAAAAAAAGACAATGAAGACATTGCTTTTTTCCTTCCTGAAAGTAAAAAGATTAAACTCTATGTAAAAACAGCTATTCTCATTTTAAAAGAAGCAACAGCCTTTTTGGTATATTTTGATTGCTCTATTGTCTTAAGGTTAATGTTTCTTTCCTCTCATATATGTTGATTAATAATAATGGTGGGTCCTAGCTTTTTGGCAATGCAGGTTAGCAGAGACCTGGGTTTTAAGATTAATAGCATTAGGTTTTTTTTTTTTTTTTGGGTCTGGTTGTGGGGCCCAAAAAAAAAATTCCTAACAGGGGCTGGAAGGTGGCTCAGTGGTAGATCGCGTGCCTTGCATGCATAAGGCCCTGGGTTTGATTTTGAATCTTAGAAATTTTCTGTAAGTGGCTTATATTTCAGGGTAACTAGTACTTTTAAATAACTACATTAAAATACAAGAGTTAGGTATTTTGTTATATACTGTGCAAATTGTAGAACTGTAGCCTGTTGGTATTACCATTGTATTACTTAAAGATTATTCTTTAGTTTTAGATACTTTTAGGTGTTTGCTTGGTAATTATAGTATGGTTTGATGTGACGAGTAACTTAAATCATTAAGTGATAATTTTCTTTTTCATGTGCAGATCAATCCATAATGGATATTTTGAAACATAAAAGTTTTCTTGAAGAACTGTTGTTTTGGACAGTTAAGTATGAATTTCCCCAGAAGATGGTAACGTTCTTACTTAACATGCTTCCAGATCAAGAATATAAGGTATCTATGGGCTGGGAAGGTGACTCAGTGGTAGAGCGCTTGCCTTGCATGCATGAGGCCCTGGGTTCGATTCCTCAGCACCACATAAGCAGAAAAAAAAGCCAGAAGTGGCACTGTGGCTCAAGTGGTAGAGTGCTAGCCTTGAGCTGAAGAGCTGAGGGACAGCGCCCAGGCCCAGAGTTCAGGCCCACGACCGGACCCAAAAAAAAGAATATAAGGTATCTATATTTTTGTCTAAACTTTACTTTGGTTTATTATTAAATATTTCTCTAAAAATTTATTTCTGATGGATGAAAAAGTATAGCAGAGGAGCCCATCAGCTGCACTGGACATTGATGAAAGTGAACTAAGCAACTCAATTGTGGTTATGGGAGGGCGGGAATGAAGAGAAAGAGGGAATAGCTGACCCTCAGCAAAAAGAAAGAAATGTACATATCTACCAAGTTAGTAGAAATAGTTCATAGAATTCATAAGCTTTGTAGATTAAGATAATGATGATTATCATTGTGAAGGTTAAAAGGTATTTGTGAATTTAGCTAAGTATAACTATGCCACAGTACTGAGAAATTTATGTAATCACTTAATCTTAATAAACAAATATTTGGAGAAAAAATAAAAATTTCTAAGACTATATATTATGGATAAGAACTGATATAACACTATGAGAGAGGGCTGGGAAGGTGGCTCAGTGGTAGAGCACTTGCCTTGCATGCTTGAGGCCCTGGGTTCGATTCCTCAGCACCACATAAGCAAAAAGAAAAAAAAGTTGGAAGTGTTGCTGTGGCTCAAGTGGTAGAGTGCTAGTCTTGAGCTGAAGAGCTGAGGGACAGTGCCCAGGCCCAGAGTTCAGGCCCCACAACCGGACCCAAAAAACAAACAAACAAAAACTATGAGAGAGCATTGTTTTCTTTTCTTGATAACACAGAGGCTTCACACAAATTGCAGAACAAAGCTTTATGAAGCAGCAGTCAGCAAAATCCCAGGGACAATAGTCTAAAGGAAATAATGGGGGAAAAGCAATTGCAAAACAAGACAATTGGAAATTATTTAAATCCTTTTGAGAGTTATAAAGTGCTATGATAACATTTTGTTGGGCAACCGAATTTGGATTGTGGACTTAGTATGGGGACAATAAGATGTTAGTAGATACTGGCCATAGCAATGAATTGAATCAAGTACAGTTGTAGGTAGGTGAAGTTTATACTCTCAGAGGGTGTGGACTCACCTTTAAAAAACATGGTTATTTATGGCAAAGTGACACACCTTAGTGTATGAGAAGAACAGAGCATGTTTTAGTTCTTAGGGTATAGGTTAAGACAGATACTAATTGTACCATTGTGTGTCTTTATACCTGTTAAAAATTATAACGGCGAAAACACATGTTACATAAAAAGGAAATAAAGTAAATGTAATTGTACTAGAGATTATTAGTGTTTCAGATCAACTAGATATTATTTCTTGGTAGTAATTACACTGACTCACTTATTTAGAAATATTAAATCAATCATCTATGATGATTTGTAATTGATACTTTAGATTTTGTAATTATGAAAGATACTTATTTTGGCATTAGATAAAATTGTGAGCAAAATTACTGAGTTTTGATACTTAAAACTAGTGCTCTATTACTTGAGCCACAGCTCCACTTCTGGCTTTTTGATGGTTAATTGGTGATAAAAGTCTTAAGGACTTTGCTCCCTGGGCTGGGTTTGAATGGTAGTCCTCAGATCTCAACCTTGTGAGTTGCTAGGATTATAGGTGTTGGCCTTCCTTCCTTCCTTCCCTCCCCCCTCCCTCCCTCTCTCCCTCCCTCCCTCCCTCTCTTCCTCCTTCCCTCCCCCCTTTTTTCTTTCCTTCCTTCCTTCCTTCCTTCCTTCCTTTCTTTCTTTCTTTCTT